ATTTAGTTCTATTAGTTTCCCAGATAAACGAATTTTTGCATTTAATTAATATCGGAGGTGTCGCTCCCCTCATGGGTAGTCCGCCAATTTATTTCCCAAAATGTTAACATGGATGTTAAAGTTATTTGTGCAAAATTTTAAGATTCTAACTGTAATTGTTTCTAAGATAAACGAATTTTTGTTTTTAATTTATATGGGAGGTGCCACGCCCCCTAATGCTAGTCCGCCTACTTTTTGTCCTAAATAATCATATTGACACTAACGTGGATCCGACAAAATTTGAGGACTCTAACTGTTATATTATCTAAAATATACGGATTTTATATTTTCTTAATGTGGGCGTGGCTCATCGCCCACTTGAAATTTCGAAATAAATAGTAGCCTATTACATATTCCAGACATGCAGGAATATGCTGTGAAAATTTCAAGAAAATCGGTTCAGCAGTTTTGTAGTCTATAACGTTCAAACATACAAACATACAAACAAACATTCATTTTTATATATATAGATATAAACATTTATAAAAAGAGGCTTTCTGCTACTTTTTGTTCTTTTAGTATTACTTTTTGAATATTCTATATTATTGAACCTAAAAACATAAAATTGGACATACAGCTTCCTGAATGTATAAAAATCTATATGAGAGGAATTTCTGGTTGAAAATTTAACATGCTCCATCCTTATTTAACTAAAATCTATAAAAAGGGACTTTCTCTTAAATTTTCGTTCTCCAACTGATATTTTCTGAATTTCCTGTAATATTGGAACTAGAATCAATCATTATTGATTGAAAATTTGAAATGAAATACAACCGTTTAGGCAGTGCGATATATATATATATATATATATATATATATATATATATATATATATATATATATATATATATATATATATATATATATATTGAACCTAGGAACATGTATGGTAATCTATGAAAGGGTACTTTTTGATATTGCAGATATACCTAAATGTAGGGTAGAAGGGGGATCATACGCCATAGGGGCACATCTGCCAATAGCGAATAACTTGAAAACTGTGTAATCGATTTTATCGCATTATCAAATTTTTTTTCGTTTATCGATTACCTATCATCCCTGAAAATTTGAAACATTAACTTTACATATGATGGGAGGCAGACATGATTAATTGTTTTTCAAAGGGCTGTGAAAATATTTCACTGTGTGAACTTTTTGTGCTAACTTTTTTAGTTTTTGTGATAGGAAAAATATATTGGTCAGTATTAGAACGTCAATAATAGTGATCAATAAGACATAATAATATTTTCGATAACATAATTTGAAGCCCGAAAAAAATTGAAACTAAACCCCAGAACTGCCCGTGGGGCACATGCACCAAATATAAAGTACTGCTCAAAAATATAGCGCACTTTCTAAAATTTGCCACTTCAAATTAAATAGCATTTAGAAACATAGACAACTGTCTTTTCATAACAATAAGTCGCAATTTTTCAAAATTAATTAACATTTTTCAATATTGTTTCAACTTATTTCAAAGAGTGCGCTATAATTATGAATCAGTTTTTTATGGTTAGTTTTGTATAAAAAGCCCTATTACCGTTATTTTGCCGTCTTATGCCGAATTTTGATACTTATTACATAAACTGGACTTCGTTCTTGAATTCGCCATCAATCATTTTTATACCCTACACCACTTTAGTGGATTTATGCTGATGTTTGTAACATACAAAAATATTCGTCCTTATTCCACCTTAAAGTATACCAATCGGCCTAGAATCGTTTTCTGAGTCGATTAAGCTATGTCCGTCCGTCCGTTTGGCTGGCTGGATGTCCATGTAAACCTTGTGCGCAAGGTACAGGTCGCAATTTTCAAGATAATTGGTTGAAATTTGGCACGCACGTTTTATTTGACCCAAGGACGAAGCCTATTGAAAATGGTTAAAATCGGTCCATTATTTCACCTAGCCCCCATAGAACAGAACCCCCCGATAAGGGCTTCTGACCTCATAATTATGTTAAATATACAGATATATCGATAAAATACGCCACAACTAAGTTTTATAGAAGTCTTGATGACCCTGCCAATAAAGATTTCATAAAGATCGGGCCCCATTTGACCCTAGCTCCCATACAAAGTCCCCTTCAGAAAATTACTTGAATGTCCCAAATTAGCATATAAACTCAAATATCGCAATGAAATTCAGCACAATAAAATATTATGTAAATATAAATATATTCACAAAATTTTATCGGGCTTGGTCCATATTTCCCCTAGCCCCCATATAAAGCCTCTTTCAGAAAATTAGTTTTTCATCCATAAATTGCTTAAATGTATCGGAACAAGGGAATATTGAAGATAAATGCTTTATTATGAAAAATAAATCACACTTAATATTCATAACTGGTGTAGGGTATCATATGGTCGGCCATGCCCGACTATACTTTCTTACTTGTTATACCCTACACCACTATAGTGGGGAGGGTATTATACGTTTGTGCTGATGTTTGTAACACACAAAAATATTGGTCCTACACCCACCTTTAAGTATACCGATCGACTCAGAATCACATTTTGAGTCGATTAAGACATGTCCGTCCGTCCGTCTGTCCGGCTGGCTGGCTGGCAGGCCATGTAAACCTTGTGCGCAAGGTATATCCTTTATATATCCTTTTCCCAAATTTAATGAGGATCGGCCCATGTTTGACCTATACTCCTATATAAAGCCTCATTTAGAAAATTTGTTTTTTATCAATAAATTGCTTAAATACTTTGGAATTAACGTAAAATTCAACATAAAAGTTTCTTTGTGAAAAATGGTGTAGGGTATTATATGGTGGGCCATGCCCGACTATACTTTCCTACTTGTTTTTAACTTAATTATTGGTGCGCTATATTTTTGAGCAGTACTTTATGTAATGCTTGTGATGTAGAAGAAAATTTGGTTAAAATATAGAAAAAATCAGTAATAATTTGTTTTAATTTTTTTGTTAAGTTTAGTGAAATAAAAAAATAAATATTTGGTTTATTATACTTTGTTTAATGAATTAAAGTATAAAACAGCAAAATAAGTTTTTATTTTTGTAATTTTTTCTTTTATTTTACTTTTTTATAAATCTTCCCCATCCCCTTGGCGCATTTACCCCATGGATTTGGCGGTATCGCCGTTTTTGGTCAGTGCGGAAAAGTTAAAAAAAATATGTACATGAGGATGACTTAGGCAAGATTGAAAGGAATAAAACTAAAGCCAACATATCTAAGTATCCGAACCAAAAAATTAAGAATATGTATTGTGGTTTTTATTTGAGGCCGCCTCAAAAAAAAAAGTGGCTATGGTCCCCCTTCTACCCTATATTGGACTGACTGAAAATTTACAATATTTTTTATTTTATTTCATTACGGTGAGTGTAGCGAATAGAGTTTGGGGTTCGGGAAATCCCGTCCGGGAATTCTCGGGAAAAGTTTGTCGGGATTTCCCAGGAATTTTTTTAATCATTCCCGGGAAAAGGTGAAATTTTAAATGAACGTATTTTTAACATATTTTGGAAAAACTAGCGATTTTATAATTTATTATCAATTTTTTTAAAGGCAAATTACAAAACATCATTAATGATGCAACAGGAAATGAAAAAAATTCTAAATTAAATCTATGTATATAAAAGCTCAACATGAAGGAAGTACAAATAGAACCAAAAATGTTGACATTCTCTTTAATGCATTTCTAAAACCAACGTCTGTGGAAAGCGTTTCAGTTATTTCAGTAGCTGGAAATTTTTCTGATGTAATGCATGTTTGGATTACATGGTCCTTCATTTACATTACATGTTAAATTTATAATGTTTTTGTATATTTGGATTAGTTTTGGACCAGTCCCTTTACACAAGTGTAAGTAAGGTTGGTTGGTTAATGTGGAAGTTCTCTGCGCGCAAACAGCTAAGTAGAATCGAAGACTCCGTTTTGACCGGACCACGTCAGTTGTAGTATTGTATAGCATTAGATTCAGCCTGTAGCAGTGAAAGGCTCAGAATATCATTAAGCTTAGGCCCACATATCTTACCAAGGTTGGCTATGAAGTAACTGTCAAAAAAAAAAACAGTTTCTCTTAGCGGCTAAATCAGGTCATTCACAGAGAAGATCGAAGACCGTTTCATCCTTTTCCCTGTCTTTGCAACTGCGAAAGTACTCATTGAAAAGGAGCCCGTATTTCCGGTTATAAAGTGTCTTGTGCCTTTCTCATTGAAAGAAGGCCACAATGACTTGGCCCCTTTACATATGCCTAGGTTATTCCATTTATACCCAAACAATAACAAGGACAGATCCTTCTTGCATTGTCTAACTAATAGGGAAGTGGTAGTATAAGAGTTTAGAGAGATAATTCTCGCTTGTCTATCTTTAAAAATTCCTATGTTGCCGTGAATATTGAGATCATGCAGTAATGAGAGCTTTAAATATATACATATGTTTAAACTTTTTCATTGGCAAATACTAAATAAGACATATATAAATATACATATAATATGTTTCAACCAAAAATATTTTACAAATATTTCATGAATATTTAAAAGTCCGGAATTCCCAAACCCTAGTAGCGAAGCACACTGGGTATAGCTAGTTTTTATATAAATAGATGGGGGCTGGCACGCCCCGTATTGCTAGTGTTTATACCAAACCGATTATGGACTGTAATTTTCATAAATAAAACACTTTTCCATTAATATTTTAAGCAATTAATTTATTCAGCAAACTTGTCAAGCAGAAAACTAAAAACAACAGAATAGCAAACTAAAAGGAGAACAAAACATAAATTCATTATACAGAGTTGCAATAAAATGTTAGTAAATAAATCAAAGGGATAAAAGGGATAAATTATGTATATTTTATTAATAGTTAGTAATGATGACTCCAACATTCCGGCCCACGTTGAAAGGATCATCTTTCAAGAATCCAAAAAAAGTGGACAAAGCTTGGATATTGGACGTTTCAGCGACCCATTTTTAGTCTTAATAGTCGCAACTCGGACCAAACCGTCATTGCCAGGATGTGTCAAAAGTATTCTACCCATCAGCCATTGTGCGGGGGGCAAGTTGTCCTCTCTTATTAACACCATGTCACCAATTTGAAGATTTTTAGAAATTTGGACCCATTTTGGTTTTCTCTGTAGTTGACACAAATACTCCTTCGACCATTTTGACCAGAACTGTTGAACAAGATGCTGCATATATTGCCATCTAGTAAGGCGATTAACGTTCACATTTATCAAATTTTCATCTGGTATTGATACCATCGGGCGAAGAATCAAGAAATGTCCTGGAGTAAGTGGATCTTCATCACCTTCAAACTTCAGGCACAAGGGACGTGAATTTAAACAACATTCTATTTGACATAGAAGTGTAGATAGCTCCTCATAAGTTGCACTTGAATTCTTCAATACTCGTTTCAGGTGAAATTTCACTGATTTAACGCCTGCCTCCCAAATGCCGCCAAAAGTTGGACCCGAGGGCGGAGTAAAATGCCATTGAATTTCTTGAAAGGAAAGCTCCTGATTAATATTCTCAAAGTTATCACTCAGAAATTCAAATAATTCCTTTAGTTCCTGGTTACATCCCACAAAATTTGTACCGTTGTCTGTATATATGTGTCTAGGCTTACCACGTCTTGATACAAACCGTCGAAGGGTTGCCATAAATGCTGCTGCAGAAAGCTCCGTCACTGCTTCTAGATGAATTGCCTTTGTACTTAGGCAAACAAATACGGCAATCCAACATTTATAATTTTTGGAACCGCGACCTTTCCAGGATTTTACTAATGTTGGTCCGGCAAAGTCAACTCCCACACGTTCAAAAGTTGGACAGGGTTGTACACGATAGCTTGGAAGGTCACCCATTCGTTGTTGATACGGAATTTGCCTAAACCTCATGCAAGTGGTACATTTATAAACCGTTCTTTTGATAAGATGAATGACGTCTGGTATCCAATATTTTAAACTCAACAAGTATTGTAACTGCCTAGTGCCGGCATGAAGGTGATGTAGATGATAATGTCTTACGATAAGAGAAGCTAAGGGATCCTTTGCATGAAGTATTAATGGATGTTTTTGGTCGTAGTTTATTCGGGCATTTTCGAGACGGCCTCCTACACGCAATATACCTTGAGGGTCCAAAAAGGGGTAAGCGCAGCTAGTTTATTTGTTCTTGAAATAGATCCTTGGGCAGCCAAAATACGTTTTTCATTATAGAAGAATTTATCTTGAGACAATTTTACCAATGATAATTGAGCAGCTTTAAGTTCTGACGTGGTTATGAACCCTCGAATTCTCCTGGAGGTGTCGCCTTTAAATTTACAGTTGTTAATAAAACGTAGAACCAGAGCTGTGATTCTAAGTAGGGTATTGAAATTCGAATAACGATCGGTAATATTAAATTCGTCGGCATTGTGAACAATTGCCGTAGAAATGTTCTTTCTCCGTTCCAAATCTGTATCATTAACCATTTCAAATGTTGATTGACAAGGGAGCGTAGGATTTTGAAGAATAGGCGGGCCTTGCCACCATAATCTATTATCCATAATATCGGAAGATGAAACGCCTCTAGTGGCCAAATCCGCTGGGTTAAACTGTGATGAAATGTGTCGCCATTGTGTCGCGGGTAATTTGTCGATAATGTATGATGTACGATTCGCAATAAAAGTCTTCCATCTGACAGGATGATCACTGATCCATGCCAGAACAACTGTTGAATCAGTCCAACCATAGGTTGGCACGTCGTGGAATCCAAATGCATTCTTTACCTTGGCCATAAGCTTTACCATAAGATGCGCAGCGCAAAGTTCCAAACGTGGTAAGCTTATCTGTTTTATGGGAGTTACTCTAGTTTTCGATGACAGCAAACAAGTCGATATAGTACCATTAGGTTTAATTATACGTATGTATATAGAAGCTGCATACGCCAGTTGTGAAGAATCAGCAAACCCGTGGAGTTCTATAATATCTCCCATCTGAAAGTTGAACCATCTAGGTATTTTCAAATCCTTGATGTGCTGCATATCATTCTGTAGTTTAAGCCATTCATTCTTTAGAGGGCTGGGCAAATCCTGATCCCAACTTACACCCTTAAGCCAGAGTTTTTGCATGAATATTTTCAACGTTATTATCACTGGTGATAGCCATCCAATGGGATCGTAGACCTTAGAAATGTCAGAAAGTACCTGTCTTTTGGTTATTACATCGGAATGTTCCTGGAAACATATGCTGTATTGGAAACAGTCAGACTCAGTATTCCACAATAAACCTAATGTTTTCACTGTTCCAGAGTCGTTTATAATTGCAGATGATGATAGATCTCTGTCTTTTACTCCAATGGGCTCCTGAAATTCATGTGAATTTGACGCCCATTTTCGCAGGTTAAAACCTGCACTTGACAATACGGAACAGAGATTTTTACGCATTGAGTTCGCCGTTTCAATATCTGGCGCACAGGACATATAATCGTCAACGTAAAAATTGTTGTCAATTTCATATGAAACATCTGGATGTGTTGTAGAGTTATCAATTGCAACCTGTTTCAAAGTGCGTGTGGCCAAGAATGGTGCTGCGGCAGTTCCATAAGTAATAGTTCGAAGCTGGTATGTTTCAGGTTCCTCCAATGGTGACTTACGCCATAAGATGCATTGGTATGGCCTGTCCTCGGGGTGTATCAACACCTGTCGATACATTTTCTCGACATCTGCACTAAATCCAATTTCAAATTTCCGAAATTTCAGTAAAATCGTAAATAAATCATTTTGAATGGTAGGTCCAACTAACAGATGATCATTCAATGACAAATCGTTTGAGCTCTTGCACGAAGCATCAAACACAACACGTAGCTTGGTGGTAGTGCTTGTTGGCTTTAGGACCGCGTGATGAGGCATATAATAAGCTGCTTTGATGTCACTTGGTGTAGTTTCCATATGGTTCAGCTCTTTATACTCGTCCATGAACTTCAGAAATTCAACCTTTAGGTCTTCATTTTTCATAAACCTCCGTTCCATAGATTGAAGTCTCTTCATTGCCGCAAGTTTAGATTCCCCAAGTTCTATAGAATCGTTTTTAAATGGTAGCCTCACCATATATCTTCCATCATGCAGTCGTTGAACAGTATCCATGTAATGTTTTTCGGCTTTTTCCTCATCAGGGCTAACAATCTTACCCTGAAGAGTACATTCCTCAGTCTCCCAAAATTTCTGTAGTTGAATATCCAGACTTGGATACACATGAGCCACAAATGTCGATCGTACCGGCTGTTCAATTATATCTCCCATAACAATCCATCCAAATATTGTGTTCACAGCAATGGGAGATCCACTTGGGTGTGTATGTTGTCCGTCTAAAATGCAATGTGGAAATACGTTTGCTCCCAAAATGATGTCAATTCGACTCCTTTGATGAAATGCTGGATCCGCGAGAGGAAGATTTTTAAGATCTTTAAAATTTAAGAAGATCTTTAAAATCAATTGAGAGAATTTCAATATTTAAATCATTAAGTAAAGATTATTTATATAGTTTAATGGAAACGTTTCTATAGGAACTGCAATAAACATCAATACTTTCAATTTGTAATATGAATTTTTAACATACTATTATAAATTATAAACATATTATTTGTACACTTTAAATATATATCTATATACTTTGCCAACTTGCCTCAAAAATGCCTTCTTGGCGCTGAGGCCAACATTTTGAGAATACAAATATTATGTACTTTGTCTAATAAATAAATAAAAAAAAAAAAAAAAAAAGATTTCGGAAATAATCCAAACTTTTGCTCTTAACAGTATGGGTAGGAAGGTATTGGGTCAGATTTTGCAAACAATAAGTTTTAACCAAAAGTGTCCTGTTATGCTTTTCAGCAAATATTTCCAGTTGAACCTTTCCCTTAGTATAATTTGGTCTTTCTCCACCAACACCGTACAGTACGGTATTATCATGCGATTTCAGTAGCTGCAATCTCTGAACACAAGCTTCCGAAACGAGGGTAGATTGTGCCCCTGAGTCTATGAGAGCCCGACATGGTTGAAGGCTTTTATTTTTATCGCGTACCATCACTATTGCCGTTGGTAAAGTGTTGTCTCATGATTAACCTGTTGGTTTACGTTGATGTTGATTGTTGTGGGATTCTCATCACTATCACTTTGTTGACCGATTTCCGCAACTAGCACGTTGTCACCCATATGAAGTAGTGTGTTGTGTTTTAAACCGCATACTTTACAAGGACCTGATTTACATTCCCTCGAGATGTGCTTACCCTTGAGGCAGTTAAAACAAAGTTTGTTCTTAAAAATAACTTCCTTACGCTTATCAACATCTAACGCTTTGAATTGTGAGCAATTGTATAAGAAATGGTCGTCATTACAAATTGGACACGACTGATTTGCAGTAGCAACATTTGCGATCTTACTTTGACGTTGGTATTTTATTGATGCATTAGCCTTCTGTTCCTCCTCCACTTCAACTACACGATTTCTCAAAAATTTCAATAGTTGTGGAAACGTTTGAATTTCGCCCTCTTTACGTTGTCTGCGCCAAAGTGTAATTGTTTCTGTGTCCAATTTCTTCTTCATGTGAAACATCAAAACATAATCCCATGAATCAAGAGAGCCCTTCAGAGTTTTTAAAGCATTGTACGCCTCAACCGTATTGTGATAGAATTTCTTAAAATCGGAAGCCGTTGCATTCTTAACATGCTTTTGATCAAAAAGGAGTTCCAGATACTTTTCCACAATCATCTCGGAGTTATCATAATTTTCCTTTAGAAGCTCCCATGCAACGTTGTAATTGTCATTCGTAGGCGTTAGATGTTTTATGACCGTAGAAGCTTCACCCTTCAACTTCATTTGTAGATATTCAAGCTTCTGAACATTCGATATATTAGTCCTCGAATCTACCATAGACACGAATAAATCTCTAAAGCGTATCCAATTTGAGAGATTCCCATCAAAATCTGGTATTTCTATTGGAGGTAAACGTAGCTCGGACTGATTAGTGTTTGACAGTTGAACATTTTGAGTTGTAGCATTTGAACGCATATCAGTTACGGCCGAGAGTGTTGCCGACATTGTCTCCAGTAAAGATGTCGTAGTCGACTGCTGCTGAACAATCGCCTGTATTGTCATGTCATTGTTGTTTGGGCTGCTGGAAGCTGCACCCTCAATAACTGTTCTATCTAACGTTTCATTTGACTGGGTAGACCAAATAGTTCTTATCGCAAAATAAATATCCTCAATCTGTGATCTGTATTGATCCTCTTTAATTTGCTCATTATCATTCTCACACAAGGAATCAATTTCATCTTGGCAAATCTCATAACATTTATAAATTTCCTCAAGTTTATCAATACGTACCTTTATTTCATGATAACTTGCATTCTGATTATTGACAGCATTATATATTCTCGTAATAGACTTCTTTATCTGTGAACGTTTTTTCCTTAGTTCCTCCATTATGAATTTCAAATTTGTTCACTTATCTACCACTTATCAAAACAATACCAATGTCAAGCAAAAAACCACACCAATTACAGTTTTCAAACCATAGCAAACGATCATTAATGTCCGTTAATTTACTTATCAAAGTCACAAACCACTTCAAATCAAGTGCAAGTTTAAAGTTCACTGCCTTTACAAATATAGTTATAGATGCACTGCTTTATTCTTATCTTTAGCAACACTAGTTTTCGGTCTTCAAATTAACGACTTTAATTTTTCTTTTCCCTTTAGCACACTGTTGCCTTGTTTTTCCGTACTCTATTCACAATCACTCACATGCACTATTGTTGTTGTTGTAATGTTCTTTTCCTTCAATTCTAATGATCTTCATTCACATTTATGTGTTCTCATATGTAACTACAAACTTTCATATTGTATTATTGCATTTACTTTGTCCCATGTTTTTCTTTTATACATTCAACAATAAACAGCACAAACTACCGACGCGACGGCGAGAATGTAAGTATGTATGTACACGAGTATGTATGTATATTTCTTTATTACGATCACAAACAATAAAAAATCACGACGTACCGGCGACGCGTATGTATATCTTTTACTACGATTTGTTCGTTCGAAACTTCACCGATATTATCCGGTTCTGAAAGGACCAAATGTTTATACCAAACCGATTATGGACTGTAATTTTCATAAATAAAACACTTTTCCATTAATATTTTAAGCAATTAATTTATTCAGCAAACTTGTCAAGCAGAAAACTAAAAACAACAGAATAGCAAACTAAAAGGAGAACAAAACATAAATTCATTATACAGAGTTGCAATAAAATGTTAGTAAATAAATCAAAGGGATAAAAGGGATAAATTATGTATATTTTATTAATAGTTAGTAATGATGACTCCAACAGCTAGTCCTCCAATTTTTCCACCAAATAATCATATGGATGTCAAAATTGTCCATAAAAAATTTCTCTAGTTGTACCATGTTCCGAGATATTCGACTTTTGAAGAAGAGGGCGTGGCACCCCTCCCACTTGCAATTTCAAAATAAAAAGTAGCCTATAGATCCTTCCAGATAGAGGGGAACACACACTGAAAATTTCAAGAAGATCGCTTCAGTGGTTTAGCCTCCTATAAGGTACAAACAAACAAATAAACAAACATACATTGATGTTTATATATATAGATTACTAGCTATACCCAGTGTGCTTTGCTACCCTAAAAGGAATATGTATAAATAAATACCAGATTTATTATATGTTACATATGAAAGATGTCAAGCAAATTATTGCAAGTTCGCCAGTTTCTATCTATCGCCAATTACTATCTATCTATAAAAAATTTGAATAATATGAGAGTTTCCAAGATGTACGAAATTTTGTATTTAATTCATATATGTTGTGCCAAGCCACCCATTGAAAGTCCTCCCGTTATGCTCTAAATGTTCAGATGAATGTCAAAGTTCTTGATGTAAAATTTGAAGATATACGATATAAGAATTTTTCTATTTGATTCATGTGGGGGCTTCAAGCTCCCTTTTAAGAATCAAGTTCTATTAATTGCCCAGATTAACGAAATTTTATATTTAATTTTTGGTGCATATTTTCCACATTTTTAGTGCATATTTTCCACAATTTTAGTGCATATTTTCCCATGTTATAGTGCATGTTATAAGGGCATATTTTTAATTTTTTAGTGCATGAAAATCCTTGCCTTGATCATCACATATGCAGATGTTGTTTACTTGATTTCCAAAGACCAACTGCGAAAATAAAAATTAAATTCCCTTTTAAAGTACAGTTGACGAATTTCAAAATATAAACAGGTTTGTGCATGATTTTTATAAAAAAAAACAAAATTTCCTTCAGATAATCTGCAGAGTTGTTGCAAAGTTTTCTTACCAAAATACTGAAAATGGGAACAAAATTACCGAGCAAAAAATATCAGAAAATGTTCAGACTAATATCTGAAGGAAATTTATATTATTGCCTTAATTGTCTGACGAAGTTACAAAAACAATTCTCTTCAGATTATGTGCGGATTTAACGGATATAATTCTTAAGCCATTTTATATTTTACTTCAGAAAATGTACAGACTATTTTCTTTTATGTCCAAAAATGTCATCTTATTTATATAACATTCGTCAATCATTAGTTTTATTTTGTTGCGTTCCTTTAGTATGACGCATGCTTTGTAGCCCACTGTTAAAAAACGAATTTTGTATTATGTCAGTCTTGTAGTAAATGCACAATTTTTATTAAAATAAACATTATTTTACTCCAAAAAAAAAAAAAAAAACGTTCGTGCTTTTTTACCCATTTTCAGTTAGAAAATTACGCTTTTTTACCCGTTTTTCAATTTGTTGTTCGCCTTTTGCTGACGAATGTTGGCAATACTGCATATTAGACCCACGCTCTAGACAATTGGTTACAAATCCTATTGAAAAAATTTATTAATGTTGTTGATAACGATCACTCACAGCCAAGTAATGTATAAAATAACTACATTCATAACCAAAATTTTAAAATTTTTTACAGAGTAGTATTCCACAAATAATTATACATATATTTGCATTTTTCTGCAAATGTGATACAAATTCTAATAGATTTTATTCCAGACAACCAATGTTTCGGTATACCCTTACAAAGAGTTCTTTTATCAGACCTATTCCAATTAAAAATTCCCTGAGTTATGTAACTAGGTGTTTATTTAGGGGTTAGAGGGAGATGGGTAGATGGGTACTTACGCGGGAATTAGAGGAAGGGTAAATAAGAAGAATTAGTTTTCGGGTTAAACGTTATAAAACTTATGTATTTATTGAACTCTTTTGAGTATATAAAGGGTAAGTATATAATCCAATTTTTGAGGTTAAGTTTTATTTAGATTGTAAGGGTTAAATTTAGGGTTTTAAATATTCAAAGTTTTAGTATTTTTCAAATTATAGGTATACGTTTTAGTGGGTTAAACTAGGTTAACCCCTAAATTTAACCCTTACAATCTAAAACGCACTTCTAATTAGGGTTCTATAGTTGAAACGAAAAGTCGACTTTTCGACTTTTTTCATTTAGTTAAAAGTCGACTTTTCGACTTTTTGCATTTAATGAAAAGTCGATTTTTCGACTTTTTTCGAGTTTTTCCGACTATTTTAGAGTTTTTGACTTTTTTTCCACTTTTTTAAAATTTCCGACTATTTTTGACTTTTTTCTACAATTTTTGAGTTTTCCACTTTTTCCGACTTTTTCCGACTTTTTGACTTTTTACGACTTTTTGACTTTTTTCGACTTTTTTCGACTTTATTCGACTTTTTTCGACTTATCGACTTTTTTCGACTTTTCGAGTTTCCGACTTTCAGACTTTACGACTTTTATTAACAAAGTCGACTTTTCAACTTTTTTCACAGACGATATTCGAGTTATCGACTTTTTTGGAACAAAGAAATTCCAAGACGCACCATTTCATTGAATTCTTTCTTAACTACCAGCAATTTCTCAGGAGATAGACGTCTTGTCTTGCAAAATATAGGAGGACCATTTGTAGTTTCTATAAAATGTTGGACTGAATGCTTTGCTTTAGAATGGAAATTAATTTTTGCTTTTCTATATCAGCCATAACAAAATTCCATGTGAAACTGCGCTTGAGTCCGAGATCAACTGTAAGGGTTTTGCTTCCGTATGTCTTAATTGCGGAGTTATTTGCTGCGTATAAAATGAGTGAGCTGGGTTGTTGTTTGCGTTGAACTGAAGAGACTGGAATTACTGAAAGGTCCGCTCCAGAATCAACTAAAAATCTGGATTTCGATTTATTATCACGAATAAACAGGCGACATAGCTCTTGGCTGCTACCATCCGTCACCGAAGATGGAGCGCCAATTAGTTTTCCTGATTTGATTGATTCAAATTGCGGTGGGTAACACATTTCTTAGTCTTCTTTCCAGTTGACGTTCAATGTTGTCAACTCTGCTCATTCGGGATTCTGTTGATGATGCAATGGCATTGATCATTATCGGAACAATCACAAATCTTATCTGCCATAGTAGAAAGCTTCTATGCGGTCTTCACTGACAGATAGAATGGCTTTCATTTGTGATGGCAGTCGCTGCATCCATAGTTGCTTTAAAATATCGTCGGAAACTCTATTTTGTGCTAGAGAGCGCATTTGACTCAACAAATCCGATGGCTTTCTATCCGATAATTCGACTTCAGTCAGCTTTCATTTGTGATGGCAGTCGCTGCATCCATAGTTGCTTTAAAATATCGTCGGAAACTCTATTTTGTGCTAGAGAACGCATTTGACTCAACAAATCCGATGGCTTTCTATCCGATAATTCGACTTCAGTCAATAGCTTCTTGAGACGTTTCTCTTCGAAATCAGAAAATGAAGAAATTAGCTTAGCTTTTAAGGCTTCACACTTGTTGATAGCTGGAGGATTTATAATAATATCTTGCACTTTTTCAAGGATATTGCTTTCAATTGATGCCACAATGGTGTGGAATTTCGTTGCGTCTTGGGTTATGCCTGCCATTATGAAGTGTGATTCCATTTGTTTGAACCAAAGCAATGGATCTGAACGCCAAAATGGGGAGCTTTAAATTTGAAATTGAAATAATCTTGAAATTTCCATTTGTTTGGCATTTGATGGCAAAAATGAAAAATCTTCCTCAGACGTTGACATTGTTGAAACGTATCCTTAAAAACGAAGTCTGTGAAGTGTTACTTTAACAGGCACCACAGCCCTTTATAACTTTTTAGCTAATAAACAAAATAAAATGTTTGTAAATATTTTGAATATATCTCCCAATTATTAGGAGACAAATATTTTTGTATTTTTCGTACTTTTTTTAGCACATTAAGAAAACTGTTTGTGGCCTCCGGTAGGTTAGTGGTTAGTGTTCTTGTCTGGTATACCGGAGCTGGTGGGTTCGATTCCCACCTGAGGCACTGGTTAAGGAGCGCACAACAGGCCCGATAGAGGCCTAGGTGTATTTCTTCGGATT